GGGCCGACAAAATGCGCCATGAATGATTCCCAACCATCCTGTGGTGTTGGGTCCTCGTTTTGAGGAGACAGTGCCCCGCGTCTCCTTCCCTCCTTCCTCCCGCTGCCCCCTCCTCCTCCCCCATTCCTCCCTCCTCCCTCTCATCATCATCGTCATCGCCATCATCATCGTCATCGTCATCGTCATCATCATCAGCACCATCATGGTCGTCATCATCACCATCGTCGTCATCATCGCAATCATCGTCGTCATCATCACCGTCATCACCCTTATCTGTTTTGTTGCGTAGCCGCCCCAGATTTCTGACAGCCGCCACGGAGTCTCGTGGCCCCAGCCCAGGCCATGAAGATACACGACAGGAACACATGTGGGTCCCCCTGGCGGCTACACATGTTTTTTGGGTAGCCACCAGAATATTGTTGCAGCCGATGTTTAGCCATGCTTGTTGTAATGTGTGTAGCCACTTGTTGTAGACTGTATGTTCTACCCCTGCAGGCGCCAGCACCTCTCACCCCCCCACACCCCACACTCTACATTTGAATTCTAGCGCGCATGAAAGCACGACGCGGCCATCGCAAGCTGGTCATAAGAAGCTGCTGTGTAGCGCGCGTGCGCGTTGCACAATATCTGCAGGCGAACGGTTCTCACTGGAGTACACTCGAACGTACATACAACATAAATGCCACTAGGTTGTAGACAGCGTTGCTTGTTACTGTAAGGGCGGGAAGATGTGAGACGGACGCCTTCCACTGCGGCCTACGACGCGCATTGCGGTCGAGGGGCGGGTTGACAGCTAGTCAGGCTTGGCGGCCTGCTGAGAGAAGGGGGACGGTGGGCCTTCCTCTTTCCGTGGGCGATCCTTTCCCAAGTGGAAGTACGTCGCCAGGGCCTGGGCGCACTACACCGAGAGCCAGTCGGTACGAAATGGAGGGGCGGGGCGGGACTCGCGCGAGGGGCCCTTTTTGCGGATGCATCTCTCAATCTCTCCGCCGCCTCCTGCCGCCACGTGTGCGGAGCGACACTGTCAGTGCCGCGCTTTCCTGTGGCCTTGCTGTGCTCCTGCTCGCAACGCACATCGCCAGGGGCGGCGGAGAGCTCGAGAGATCCGTCCACAAAAGGGCGGGCGGGCTCAGACCTACCATCAGCGGTGGCATCGCGCCGTGGGTCTGCGGGCGGTCGAAGAGTCGGCCACTCCGCTCGCGCGAGTGCCGCGGGCCGGGCGCATCTGAGCATCTGTGAACTGGCCCCTGTCCTCATGGGTGTGGCCTGGGCCCCACTGGCCGCTTCACCCCCCCTGGATGGGGACACGGGCCTCGGGGGGAGATGCGAGCCGGCGGGCCGGGGCCGCCTCGATGATGCTGTCGTCCTCGGGCGGAACCGGCCGCACGCGCACGGCCACGCGGATGTGCGCCTGGTCGGGGCGGCGCGCCAGGCCCTCCCAGCCGGCCGGCCCGCCCTGCACGCCGCGAAGAGGGACGGTCGGTCGGACTCGGCACTGCAGCAGTCTGCGCGCGCGCAGTCTGCGGGCCTTCCGCAAGAGAGGGGCGGGGGGAGGAGTGGGAGCGGGGCTCGGCGGAGGGAGAACGGAGGCAGGCAGGCAGGGGGAATCGGGGGAGGGAGGAGGGGGAGCGGGGGGCGACGGGACGAGCCCGAGCGGGACCGGGGCAGGGAGGAGGGGGATCGGAGCACAGGGGGGACGGGGCCTGGGGGGGAAAGGGCGAAGAGGGAGCGGATGAGGGCCGAAAAGGGCGGAGGGAGGGAGCTGGAGCGGGGGGCAGGGGCGGGGGCGCAGGGCAAACGGGCAAAGGTAGGCATCAAGGGAGGGCAGGGGCAGGTAGATGGGGACGTCGCGCAGAGGGGGGTGAGAAGGAAAGTTGGACAGGGGATCAGGGACCAGGGGGCAAGAACAGGGGAGGAGGGAGAGGAGGGGATGAAGGGGGAGTGGGGCGGGGGCGGAGGAGAGACGGTGGGCAGCGGGCGGGAGAGAGGGGGAGGCAGGACGCGGGGAGGGGAGAGGGAGGGGAAGAGGAACACGGGGGAGCGGGCAAGGAGACGGGGGACGGGGACTTCAAGTCCCCCTTCTCCTTGTATTTAACGGGCGAAGAACGGTGTAAAACTAACTTTTTCGCTGTCGGGGGCGCCTGTCCCAGGGCGGCTGGAAAGTTTATACCCTTACGGTGGCACCGTCGTAGGGGTATAAACTTTCCAGCCGCCCAGGGGCAGGTGTCCCCGACGGCGGAAAGTTTATTTTATACCGTTCTTCGCTCGCTGATGTATGCCCCCCCCCGTCTGCCCCCCCCGACCCACTGCTGCATTGATGAGCAAGTCACTTGCTCATCCGCGCAGCGGTGAGGAATCCAGCGGTTGCCCACACGGTCACGGCAGGCTGTGGAGTTGTGACCAGGCGTGCACGCCAGCGCACACGCAGCCGCAGAACAGCCGAATCGCTCAGGTTGCCTCTGGAAAGGCGCGCTCAAAAGCGCCGAACCGCTTCAAGTCGTGTCTTGCACGGACGCTGCACCAACCGCCGGCTTCGACCGCCTGGCTTGCCACGTCTTCTTCGCGTGCGAAGCGGGCGCACCGCCACACGGCTCCCTGCTTCCAAACAGCAGATCAGGGGGGCGCCGAAAGAAACCAGAGAGGAGGGGCCCAAGGCAAGTCAGGGGCTCCCCCATCAGCTGGTTCGGACCCTGCGCCGCGCCGTGCATCAGGCCAAGGGGGGGCCGGGGGAGGCAGGAAGAGGGTGGCGTGTTCCGCGTTCCCTGGGGGGCGTTCCCAACAGAGGGCGAGCGAGAGCACAGCACGCGCTGAGGACTTGCGAGACCCTGACCTGCGTGAATGGCCTCGCTCGCACGGGCATCCGCAGAATGCACTGGCAAAGCTCTCTACGTGTGTGCAAGAGTCGGGCTCGGCTTCCGCAGGCTTCCAAGTGCTGCAGCGTACATGTTGTGGAAACGTGCACCGGTCTGCACTGACGCGAATCACACTGTGCGTTTCGCGGCAATGCAGACTGGTGCGAGTTTCTGCGCTGTGTGTGCGCGTTGCACCCGCACGCGCACGAATTGGTTTGATGCGGTCGCTCATTGCTGGGAGCATGAACCGTGCACAACAGAACGAACGTTCGTGCACTGCTTTGCTCTGTCTCGGGGGCGCGCAAACATGGATTAGCGATCCATGGACTTGGCGCCCCCTTGATCCATTCGGCCCGGGCGAAAGGGGGGGATAGGAAAGGGGGGGGGGGGGGAGAATCAGCTCACGAAGCTGATTTTCCCAGCGCCTCCTGGCGCCGGGAGGCGCCCATGTATCGAAGAATGGGCCTGGCGGCGGGGCCAAAATCAGCTGCATGCAGCAGATTTCGTAACCCCCCCTTTCCCTATCACCCCCTTTCGTTCGGCCCGATCCATGCTTGCGGCCGCCTGGCTGCCTGTGCCCGTTGGGCGAGGCCGGCCCACTCGCCCCGCCCCACCACGCCGTCGTGCACTGGGCGCGCGGCGTTCCGCAGCTGCACGCGGCGTGCCTGCTCGAGAGCCCCTGCCGTCTCGCCTGGCTCAGGTCGGGCACGTCCCCCCTACAGGCCGATTTCGGACGAAAAATCAGAAAGCAGCCGAGGAAGATTCGAAAGTGGTGAAAGAGTAATCGAAAAATCGTCCCGCGTCTGTTCTTGTTTGACTGATTTGAATACCCCTCCTGTAGAGAGACGTGCCCGACTCAACGCTTGGCGTTACAGCGCACGCACCCTCATAGAGAGCAGGGCTGGGGCCGCTCCGCTCGTCGGCCGGCGCTCTTGCCGGCGTCGCGCCGGCGGCAGGGGACAGCGGCAGGGACGGCAGCAGGGGCAAGGACGGGCCCGAGGACCCCGAGGCGGAGCCTCCGAGCAGAGCGATCGGAGCTGCAGCCTGGACTTGGGGGGCCACATGCGAACCCCTACCCCACCCTCCCCCTCAGAAAGTCGTGGGGGGTAGCGGTGGGGTTCGCATGTGGCCCCCTACTGGAGGCCAGGGGGATGGGGAAGGGGATGGGGGAATGGGGGGAACAGGGTGGGAAACGGCACTCACGCTCGGCCCTGCCTCCCCCCCCCTCACAACACGGAGGCCGCCCACACAGAGTTCGAGAAGGAGTGGTCGGAGGATCGCGCCTCGTCGACGATGCATCGGCATGCACTGGCGACACCGGCGATGCACGGGCGATGCGGCGCGATCCACCGCCTCCAACTGCTTCGACCCTGGTTGGACTCCTCCACTGCCGCATTTCTTACTTCCGCCGGCTTCCCACGGCCTCACGCCGGATTGCGCCGGCGGCGACGCCCTCGTTCTACCTCCGCGGGCCCCCACCGCGTTCCGCCGAGGAAGAGAGAAGGCCACCTCTCGACCACTCGAAGGCGAGGCCCTTTCATGGAGAGCCCTGCTGGGGTCGGACGACTAACTCGAGCGCGCGTGCGGGTCGCCTCTGCCGCGACGCGACGGAACAACAACAAAAAACAAAAAAACTGACGGCAGGTGGCGTACGAAAGGGGGGGTCAGCAAATTGCCTCACGCAGCTGTTTCTCCAGCACCTCCGGGCGCTGGGTGGCGCCAGTGCATCGAGGAGAGCGCCCGCCAGCTGGCGCCTGAACCAAGCGCACGCAGCAGATGTCGCCCCCGCCCCCCTCCCTTCTCCCGCGGGGGTGGAGAGGACCCCTCTTGAGCAAAGCACCCGTTTGTGACTACTACCTGGGGCCCGACACGGCGGGCGCGGGGGCTCCCCGGCCACTTGCAGACTTGGTGCTCGCGCTGTCACTTCTCTGCTGCCCTGGGGCTTTGCAGCGTCGTCCGCACCCTGCTTCTACATGTCCGAGCTCCGGAGCTGCCTGCACGCCCTCCTGTGCTCAGCCGCGCTCTTGCTCGTATGGACATTGCGCAGGCCTGACGAAAGCCTGAGAGCTCCCTTCCAGTGTGAGCAGGGCACCCCTCTTGCGAGCACGACCTGGGGCCAGACCCGGCGGGCGCAGGCCCGCAGAGACTGCGGCCACGGCGCCCTCTCGAGAACCACCAAACAAATATATATATATATATATATATACACATACATACATATATACATACATGTATACATACATACATACATACATACATACATACATACATACATACATACAGACATACAGACAGACAGACAGACAGACAGACAGACAGACAGACAGACAGACAGACAGACAGACATATATACATACATACATACATACATACATACATACATACATACATACATACATACATACATACATACATACATACATACATACATACATACATACATACATGCATACATGCATACATACATACATGCATGCATGCATGCATGCATGCATACATGCATACATACATACATACATACATGCATACATGCATACATGCATACATGCATACATACATACATACATACATACATACATACATACATACATACATACATACATACATACATACATACGTATGTAAATATAAGCAGTGACCATCGGCCTGGCAGGCAAAGGGTGGCTCACCAGACATCCCACAACTTGATTGCCTCCATTCTCGGAGCCAGGAGGTCCCGACCCTTCCCTGCGGGTAGCCTGTCGCCCTGGATCCACTCTTGACGGGCCCGGGGGCCCGAGAACGGGCCCCCGAGCCCGAGCACCGAGGAGAAACGCCTGGAGTGAAAACGCAAGATCGTCGGAGATCCGAGTCTACCAACCTCCGACCCCCCCCCTCAAGGAGGAGCGACAGGGAGGAGGAGGAGGAGGAGGAGGAGGAGGAGGAGAAGGAGGAGGCGGAGGAGAAGGAGGAGAAGGAGGAGGAGGCGGAGGAGGCGGAGGAGGCGGAGGAGGAGGAGGAGGCGGAGGAGCCGGAGGAGGCGGAGGAGAAGGAGGAGAAGGAGGAGGAGGCGGAGGAGGCGAAGGAGGCGGAGGAGGAGGAGGAGGAGGAGGCGGAGGAGCTCTACCCCCTCTGCCCCAGACCACCGCCCGCCCGCCCGCGCCCGCCCTCTCCCGGCCCGGCCGCCCGCCGGCGCCTCCGCGGGCGCGGGCTCCGCCGCCGCCATCGCGCCCGCGGCGACCGCGGAGGGTGCGTCCGACGCCGCGCGCGCGCGGGCCTGCGCAGGGGCTGGGCGCGCGCGCGTCGCCTCTTCCGCGGCCTGGTGCGCACCCCCTGCGCGCGGCGGCGGGCGCAGGCCACGGGCGGCGCGCCGAGGCGCGAGGGGGCGAGGGGGCGAGGGGCGAGGGGGCGAGGGGGAGGGCGAGGGGCGAGGGGCGAGGGGAGAGGGGCGCGAGGGGCGAGGGGCGAGGGGCGAGGGGCGAGGGGCGAGGGGCGAGAGGGATGGCGCGCACGACAGGGGGTGTTTGCCAGGGGGGCGGCCTTCTGAGACGCGAGGGGCTCGAACCTCCCTGAGAAGGCCTCCAGCGACGGCCCCATGCCCCCTAAGGGGCACCCAGTCCTCTTAGAGAACCCCCCACACGTCACGGATAGAGGTATGGGGGTGGCGGTACCATCACGCTACGGTCATGAGGGACGGCAAATAATGGACGAAGCTCCGAGCGTCCTGTTTGCATCAGCAAGAGGGGAGTGCCTCCAGACGGCCTTCGGGCTGCGCCAGACAGGCCTCCAGCGGCGCGGGGGTCCTCCCCACCCCCCAGGACGGCTTCGAGACCCCCTCACCAATCGGCGGGCGGCCAGTCCTTGGCTTGAACCCGCGTCAGCACCTTCCTCCTGGGAAGGCCTCTGAACCAAAAAATTGGCGACAAGTCGAAGGGGAAGGGCCACGACACGCCCAGGGCCAACTCCAGGGCCGATCTCGCGAGCCGGCAGGTCCCCCACGGCCTCCTCAAGACGGGTCCGGAGCGGCCCAAGACGGCCCAGGAGCAGCCAAGGGCAGCCCCAAAACAAATCTCAGGGCCAAGGCTTTCTGGTGGCCGGCAGTGAGGTCCCCCACGCCCTCCCCAAGACAACTCCAGAGCGGCCCTCGACGGCCCAGGAGCAGCCGAGGGCGGCCCCAAACGACTCTCAGGCCCAGGGCTTTCCCGCGGGCGCTGTCCCCAGGACGCCGCGGTGCTGGCCCTGCGCCGGACGCAAAGCGAGGGGCAGCGCCCGCGCCTGCGCCTCAAGGCTCCGCCGCCGAATTCGGCACCTCGCCCCGTCGGAAGCTGCGTCGGGCACGCTGGATGCACTCTCCGAACTCCTGCTCGTAGGTGCGGCGAGACTCGTCTGGGCTGTACATCCAGTCTCCGAAGCGGCCAGGGGGGAAGAGCTGGAACACCACGCAGTTGGTGTTGAGGAGCGCGGGGGCGTAGCTGAAGCTGCTGGCGGCCATAACGAAGACCTGCGCGAGGGCGAAGTGGGCCCAGTCGTCCAATGTGTCGCCGTCCAGATGGACCGTCGCGTTGGCGGCCCTGAACTCGTCGAACTCGGATGGCGAGTGCCTCCCCTCCGTGGAGCTGAAGACATGCACCTCGGCCTCGGGCCAGTGCCTCCGGATCCTCGCGATCATGCGCAGGTACCACGCGTTGGGCGTCATCCGCGACTTCTCGTGCGTCTCGGAGACGTCGCCGCGCCGCACGTGCAGGACGGCCAGCGGTGCCTGCAGGCCGTCCGGGTAGAACCTGCGCAGCCGGGCTCCCAGCTGGGGCGTCGCCTGGGACCGGAGGGTCTGCATGAACCGCGGGGTCAAGTAGTCCTCCTGCTTCCAGCCACGCACGGACTCGTCGTCCATGCCGAGAATCAGGTTGGAGACCTCCAGCATCACGCGCAGCCCTGGGCGCGCACGCTCCGGGTCGAAGGCGAACATCGAGCTCTGGAGGAACTGGATGTCGGCGAAGTGCGCGTCCATTCTCGGCGCCACCTTCAAGAAGATGTCGCCGTAGCTCGTGAAGCCGAACAGGTCCGCCATCGCCCTGTGGACGTCCACCCCGTGAGACGAGGGCGACGCCGAGACCGCCACCACGCCGCCGAAGTTCATCCCGTACTTCGCAGCGATGGCCATGCCGTAGACCTAGAGGGAAAAGAACTATGCACATGCACCGATTCTGGCCAGGCCCATCCTGAGCCCAGGATCGGTGCATACGCCCTCCTACCTTGGCCAGGAAGGCATATGCACCGATCCTGGGTCAAGGATGGGCCTTGCCAGGATCGGTGCATGTGCATAGTTCTCTTCGCCCGAAGACCAGGGAGTGGACGTTGGTGCCCAGGCCGTTGCCCTCCTGCCCCCTGATGTAGAGGCGGGGGGCTCGTCGATCGTGCAGGCAGCATACCCGGCAGCCGCTGGGCTCCGCGCCGCTTTGAGGGGGAGCGTGAGGGGAGGAACGGCTCAGCGCGGGTTTTTGAAGGGGAACTGGAACACACAAATAAATACACACAAATAAAAATATCCCCCATATTTTCCCATATTTTCTGGGTTTTTGTCTTCCCCACCACTTCCCAAATTTTCCCATATTTTCCTGGGAATCGAGGATTAATTGTGTCTGTGTGTTTTTTCCCTCCTGAAAATATCAAGCCTGAATCGGCGATAGTTTGCCGATAGATCGACGACAGTCTTCGGTCGGGCCATGTCCCCCTACAGGCGGATTTTGGACGGAAAAATAAACAATGCCCAAAAAGTGTTCCAAAATGGTCCAACTAAAAATCAAAAAAAATAGCCTGACGAAAGACCCAACCGTACGTAGTTGTGAATACCGCAATTGTGGATATATTCCTCGGTGGCGCTCCCTATGGGGCCACGAACCGCATGAAGGGCGTGCCGAAATGTGTGGCGGGGGCACACAACGCGAAGGAAAATTATATTTCTGATGACGAGAGACTGAACGCGGATGCGTCTGAGCGCGAGTGCGTCTGTTTGTGAATGGGATTGCGTGCGGCGCCGCCTATGGGGCCACGAAGCGTGTGAGCGGTGTGCCGAAATGGGGGGGTGGAACCGCATGCGAGCGCAGCCACTGGGGCGTTCGGTGGAGCCCCCTATGGGGCCACGAAGCGTGTGAGGGGTGTGCCAGAATGAAGGGTGGAACCGCATGCGAGCGCAGCCACTGGGGCCTTCGGTGGAGCTCCATATGGGGCCACGAAGCGTGTGAGGGGTGTGCCAGAATTGGGGGTGGAACCGCATGCGAGCGCAGCCACTGGAGCCTTCGGTGGAGCTCCCTATGGAGCCACGAAACGTGTGAGGGGTGTGCCGAAATGGGGGAACCGCATGCGAGCGCAGCCACTGGGGCGTTCGGTGGAGCTCCCTGTGGGGCCACGAAACGTGTGGGGGTGTGCCGAAGAAGGGGCGGGCCCATAGCCGAGCGCAGACGCTGGGGCCCTTCGGTGAAGCTCTCTATGGGCCACGAAACGGTGAGGGGTTTCGAAATGGGGGGTGGACGCTGCGGGCGCAGCCACTGGGGCCTTCGGTGGAGCTCCCTATGGGGCCACGAATCGTGTGAGGGGTGTGCGAGAATGGGGGGTGGAACCGCATGCGGGCGCAGCCACTGGGGCCTTCGGTGGAGCTCCCTATGGGGCCACGAAACGTGTGAGGGATGTGCCAGAATGGGGGGTGGAACCGCATGCGGGCGCAGCCACTGGGGCCTTCGGTGGAGCTCCCTATGGGGCCACGAAACGTGTGAGGGTTGTGCCAGAATGGGGGGTGGAACCGCATGCGGGCGCAGCCACTGGGGCCTTCGGTGGAGCTCCCTATGGGGCCACGAAGCGTGTGAGGGGTGTGCCAAAATTTTCGGTGGAACCGCATGCGAGCGCAGCCACTGGGGCCTTCGGTGGAGCTCCCTATGGAGTCACGAAGCGTGTGAGGGGTGTGCCGAAAAGAAGGGTGGAACCGCATGCGAGCGCAGACGCTGGGGCCTTCGGTGGAGCTCTCTATGGGGCCACGAAACGAGTGAGGGGTGTGCCGAAATGGGGGGGTGGAACCGCATGCGAGCGCAGCCACTGGGGCGTTCGGTGGAGCTCCCTATGGGGCCACGAAACGTGTGAGGGGTGTGCGAGAATGGGGGGTAGAACCGCATGCAAGCGCAGCCACGGGGGCGTTCGGTGGAGCTCCCTATGGAGCCACGAAACGTGTGAGGGGTGTGCCAGAATGAAGGGTGGAACCGCATGCGAGCGCAGCCACTGGGGCCTTCGGTGGAGCTCCCTATGGGGCCACGAAGCGTGTGAGGGGTGTGCCAGAAAGGGGGGTGGAACCGCATGCGGGCGCAGCCACTGGGGCCTTCGGTGGAGCTCCCTATTGGGCCACGAAACGTGTGAGGGGTGTGCCAGAATGGGGGGTGGAACCGCATGCGGGCGCAGCCACTGGGGCCTTCGGTGGAGCTCCCTATGGGGCCACGAAACGTGTGACGGGTGTGCCAGAATGGGGGGGTGGAACCGCATGCGGGCGCAGCCACTGGGGCCCTCGGTGGAGCTCCCTATGGGGCCACGAAACGTGTGAGGGGTGTGCCAGAATGGGGGGTGGAACCGCATGCGCGCGCAGCCACTGGGGCCTACGGTGGAGCTCCCTATGGGGCCACGAAACGTGTGAGGGGTGTGCCAGAATGGGGGGTGGAACCGCATGCGAGCCGCGCACTGGGCCTTCGGAGTGGAGCTACCCTTTGGGGCCACGAAACGTGTGAGGGGTTGCCGAAGATGGGTGCAGGGGACTCATGATGATGATGATGATGATGATGATGATGGTGATGATGATGATGATGATGATGATGAATGATGATGAATGATGATGATGATGATGATGATGATGATGATGATGATGATGATGATGATGATGATGATGATGATGATGATGATGATGGTAGTGGTGATGGTGATGATGCGGAGGATGATGATGATTATGATGATGGTGATTATGATGATGGTGCTGATGATGATGAGGAGGATGACAATGATGATGGTGGCGATAACGGCGATGGTGATGGCGATGATGGTGATGATGACGATGATGACGATGATGACGACGACGATGATGACGATGACGACGACGACGATGATGGTGATGATGATGACGATGATGATGATGACGGGAGGGGGGAGGAGGGGGGAGGAGGAGGAGAG